CCAAGTTCTTCGGCTCGGGGGCAAAGGGATTAAGTCACGATTGCTCCATTGATCAGTTTGTTCATGTTGACTCTCATCACCATGCAAACGAATCTTGTCCTTAACCCCTTCGAAACGAGATCTTAAGCCAGCGCCCATCGCTATACTGAGCTTTAGACCGGAATGATATAAATTAGGATAGGGATATAGCTTAGGCAAGGGAGTTTCAAAAGGGACCTTGCTAAGTAATATACAATATAGCACGATGCAAATATTTCAGCCATTGCGGATGTAGATATAAGATATATGTCACCTCCCGAATAAAATTACATTTACTGCTTATCCTACCAGGTTCACCGGGCTTGCATGTACCGACTAGAGGGCCCGGGATCTAGAGATAACAGGTAGGACAAAGACGACGATGTCTTCCCATCAAGGGGCGAATCTAGTTAGACTAGCCAATAATCATGCAGCTATGTTGCCTATAAAACTAGGTACGGTACCTAAGGATTGGACGAGGGGGTGTGACAAGAAAGAGGAGGTGCATGTACGAAGTACAACATGTACAACAACATGTACAACATGTACAACATTTAATCTTTACCCCACGTGCGGATCCCTCCTATCTTATCTGATCTGCCAAGCTGTGGAGTTCGACAATCCGCTCCACATTAAAGATCCATCCAATCCTTAGGAAACCCCATCTCGATGCGTTACGTTTCCCTCACATTCAAGATATTCAAGATATACGCGTGAATTACTACCATATTATCTATTGACCATACAAATCTACAGAATATATAGTTGTTATATGTTACATAATCTGAGAGAGAAATATAATTATAATGCATGTGACGAAGCTTATCAAGCAGACGCGAGCAACATAGACATCATCCAAGTCTGAGTCCGAGTACCCCGAGAACTACCAATGCTAGCGGCAATGGATTATTTGCCCTGTCCTGCAACTTGGTATAAATACAGCTAACCGGGGCCGAAGCCGGTTTCGGTATGGATAGGCCAAGCAGACGAAGAGTTCACTTTCATATCTCTCCGGAACTTCGGACGCAGCCGAAAGACACATATTCCTCGTAGCAACATACCTATGCTTTAGGTACCTTAGGTAGTCTACCTAACTATTCATCGTGCGAAAATGGCGTCTACGGTTGGCTCTGGTAAAAGTTTACGCATCGGCGTCGACGTCGGCGGCACAAACACTGATGGTGTCGTACTCGATCCCTCGCGAGTTTTAGAACCGGACAAAGGCATTATTGCCTGGCACAAGGCCCCGACCACGACAAACCCAAGTCTTGGCATCAACGATGCTATTACTACTATGTTCAGCGCAGCCGGAATTACACCAGATCAGGTTGCTAGTGTTACTATTGGGACTACCCACTTTGTCAACGCCGTCATCGAGAGAGATGCTGCGCGATTATCCAAAGTCGCCGTACTCCGGCTTTGCGGCCCCTTTTCTAAGCATGCGCCTCCCTGTGTGGACTGGCCCGATGACATGCGTGAGCTTATTCTCGGGTACTATGCGCTTCTGAGAGGAGGCTTAGAAGTCGATGGGTATATCATTTCCGATATCGACGAGAATGAGATTAAAGAGCAATGCGCCATCATCCGAGAGAAGGGAATTAAGAGCATAGTCGTGAATGGAGTGTTCAGCCCTATCGACACTATCGAACAGCAAGAGGAGCGCGCTGCTGCCATTGTTCGTTCCGAGCTTCCTGGATGCGATGTCGTCTGCTCTAAAGAAGTCGCCAATCTAGGATTCCTCGAGCGTGAGAATGCTGCCATCTTGAACGCGTCGATTCTTGCATTCGCTCGCAAAACGATTCGTTCTTTCCAGGAGCCGATTAAGCGCCTAGGCTTGGATTGTCCCGTCTTCATTACACAAAATGACGGTACAATTTTGTCTGGTGATATGGCGGCGAAGCTACCCATCCGAACTTTCTCCAGTGGTCCGACGAACAGCATGCGTGGTGCTGCGTTCCTAGTACAGAACGAACTGGACGAAGCAATGATGGTAGTTGACATAGGTGGCACAACTACCGACGTTGGTCTCTTGCTTGCAAATGGCTTTCCACGGCAACAAGCTGCGCATAGCGACTTAGCAGGAGTTCGGATGAACTTTTCATGTCCAGATGTGAAGAGTATTGGCCTCGGCGGTGGCTCGATCGTCCGAAATGACGAGACGTTAACTGTAGGCCCAGATAGCGTTGGTTACAAGATCACCGAAGAAGCTCGGGTCTTTGGTGGTAAAGTCCTCACCGCTACCGACTGCACAGTACTTGCGAATAATACAGTCGATATTGGGAATAGGGAGTTGGTAAAAGGTACATTAGACGATGAAGGGGTAGCAAAATTCAAAGCCGTGATTAAGCACAAGATCGAGAAGATCATCGATACCATGAAAACCTCACCGGAAGACCTTCCCGTACTTCTCGTAGGAGGTGGCGCAGTGATCGCCCCAGACGAACTAAGAGGAGCCAGCAAAGTGCTCAAGCCGAAGTGGTCAGGCGTTGCAAATGCTATTGGAGCCGCGATTGCAAGAGTCAGCGCTGTTATTGATACGGTGAAATCTACCGAGTCTAAGTCGATAAAACACATATTGGATGAGATTTCTCAAGAGGCTGTTGAGAAGGCTGTAGCAAATGGCGCATCAAGGTCAACAGCCAAAGTGGTAGAAATTGATACTCTACCTTTACCAGTAATTCCTTACCAAAATCTATTAATCTAATTATTCACTAATGATGAAAACAGTATATAGCCAACAAGACAAGGTTTACCGTACGAGCTGCGGGAGATCTTGATTACTCACGCACGGATTTTTCGACCATCAATTTTGAAGAGACGTCCGCAGATACGGAAGTCCAAATGGATGAGTACGAAAAGGCTGCCAAGGACTCAAATAAGAAGACGAAGTTAGAGCCCAAGGAAGACCTCGATATCGACGGCTATAAGCCTAACGTCAAAAATCGTGTCTGGTACATCAACGAGACAGACCTTAGTTGGATTTCCATCGGCTGCTATATCCTCGGCACGGGTGGCGGCGGTAGCCCCTATTCATCTATGATCCGCCTCAGGCAAATGCTTCGTAGGGGTGACGTGGTCCGCGTTATAAGTCCAGATGACTTATCGGATGACGCAGCAGTAGCGACTGGTGGTCATGCTGGCTCGCCTACGGTTGGGATTGAAAAGTTGAGCGGTGACGAGATGACCCAGGCACAGGAGGAGCTGTACAAAATATGCGGTGATAACCCGACACATATCATTTCGGTGGAAATAGGTGGTGGGAACGGTCTACAGAGCATGATTATCGGCGCAAGTACTAACATGGACTTGCCGGCTGTGGATGGAGATTGGATGGGGAGGGCATATCCCACTAAGTGGCAGGTCAGTATCTAAGTTCTTTCATTGCCCCTTTAAGTCCATTTTAGGGGTTTAGTTTCCTAAGACTACCTAAGACTACCTACAACATTGCGTCTTGCGCCTACTCAGATGAGATCAAGTGGAACGAATACTTTAAATATTCGCTAACTTTAAGTCCTAACCAGACCACTCCCGTCGTTTTCAACGAACGGTCTCCCATTTGGTCACCTGTCGCAATGGCAGACGGTAATGGAAACGTGGTGGTTATACCGAAATCAACTTCAGACCTACAGGTCGAACGCATCCTTCGCGCAGCGTTAAGCCAGATGGGTTCAGGCGTAGGATTCGCCGACCCACCCGTGACCGGCGCCGAGTGTAAACGATGGGCCGTCGAGCATACTATCTCACAATCATGGCGGATCGGACGGGCGGTTGCCAAGGCGCGCAAATCGAACCGCGTGGATAATGTTGCGGAGACCATCTTAGCGGAATGCGGCGGTCCCGAGGCGGGAAAGGTGCTCTGGAAGGGTAAGATAGTCGGCGTAGAACGCACGCTTCGCATGGGCCATATTTACGGAGAGTGTATCGTCGAAGGCGCGGACGTGGTCGATGATGATACGAACGCCAAAGCACATCCCACCCTTAGTCAGCCCCAGTTCCAAGGCCGGATCAAGATTCCGTTCAAAAATGAGAATATCGCCGCTATCAAGATCGTACAATCGGTTGTAGAGGGGGAATCCGTTGAGACGGAGGGCGAGGTGTTGGGACTTGTGCCCGACCTGATCACGGTGATCGACGCGCAGAACGGCGAGGCTATTGGTACGCCCGAGTACCGGTACGGACTTCTAGTTATTGTCCTCGGCATTACAGCTAGCGAGCGCTGGACTTCGGAGAGGGGTATCGAGATAGGTGGTCCGAAGGGCTTCGGCATGGACCATCTAACGTATAAGCCTCTTGGCAAGTTTGTCAAGCCTAGAAGCGTGATTGACGAGTTTGATGTTACTGGGTAGGAAGTTTTTCGGTTGAGGCGGGGGGGTATGTGAGTTGAATATATTTGCTGCGTTGGTATATATAAAGCGGTAGACTACATAGGGGTATAATTATAAAACTCGCCCTTTTTGTATACCCGAGATTGGAATATAAGGAGAGACCAGTCAACTCGAAGACACAGCCTTTAGGGAGTACTAAAGTCTCCCATCAATGACAGCATGCCTATTAAGTTAAATAGTACGCTCCAAAGTTAGCAGAGGGCGAGTTACCCTTTACATCCCATTGAGATGCAAGTTTCATAGCCTGGGAAGCCCCTCTTACGAGATACTTATAACTAGGTGTAGTTAATGTAAATTCAGACTCTCATTTAGAAAATACGGAATGTCAGTGAAAAGTCATTCTTTTACCCTGATCGATTTATGAACAGTCCTTTAAATTGTATAAACTGCTCATGATATCGTTAAACTTATCTACAAAGTTAATCAATAAATTAATTCTCATTATCAAATTCATTTAGTTACCTTATAATAAGTCTAAGTGAGTCTGAGTCCGAGTCTCTCGTAAGAAAGTGGACAGTTCTACCCCATGGAAGCCACTCAACAAGCCTCCTCCTCCGCATCAGCGCATCAATGTTCTCCTTCATAGTTCTAGGAACGATGGTATCAACCCTCGGAGTCATGGTCCCCCAATTCGAAGCCTACTACGGCCTAACAGACCTCCGCGTCTCCTTCGTCTTCCTAGTGTGGCCCGTCGGGTACGTGGTACTACGTCCTTGTAAGTCATCCTTTCTAAGAATATATCACTCTTCTACATCCAGATCACTTACAAAACCTTTAGCTAGGCGCTTCCATCCTTGAGGCCATAATACTCCTCCTCGCCTTCCGGTTCGAGGACTCGAACAGATATCACAACGACCACCAACAGGGTCGTCTACTCGAGACGCAAGGAGAAACTCGCCCCGACACCAAGACCGCCATCTTCAAGCACAGTGTTACATGGATCTGTGCCGCCTACTTTCTAGCCTACGTAGGCACCGAGAACGCGATCTCCGGCTGGATCGTAGTTTTCATGCAGCGAGTTAACCACGCATCCGACTACTTAGCCAGCCTCTCATCGTCCGGCTTTTTGATCGGCCAGGCGGCCAGGCGTCCGGGCGTCTCGTGCTCGGAGTTGTAACCGACAAGATCGGCGTAAGAACCGCAACGACCGTCTACTTGATCGCCGCTCTTGCATTTGAGCTCCTCTTCGCCGCTGTCCACGTTCCCGCGGTCTCGACTGTTACGATAGCGTTGCTTGGATTTCTGCCTAGGCCCATTATTCCCAGCCGGCATCGTCATGATGACTCGTCTACTACCACGGGAGTTGCATGTGGGAGCTATCTCGTTCGTAGTGTTGCTTGGTCAAATTGGAGGCGCGTTACTGCCTTTCGCTCTCGGAGCGCTGGCCGACACGCTCGGGATCCGAGTCTTCCAAGTAGTGGTTTTTGCCCAATTGGTCGCCACGCTTCTGATTTGGTTCGCATTTCCAAGATTACCGCGGAACACACTGCGTAGGGAACGATTAGAATAGATGATTAATTAACAGCATCATCAGTTTGCTAAAATAGCTATGTTCTGAAATAGAGTGATATCGTTTCACCTATCTTCCTCCATGCCTACTTTATATAATTCGTCTATGGATGCAACGAACTACCGAATTGGCATCAAAATGCACCCGCAATATATCCCCTCATGGAACAATGTAACTTTAAGCAAGCCCAAGTTTTCGAGCTAGTTGCAACATTACTTCTACCTCTCCTAGCAAATTTCTTTGTCTCAGAATCACCAAGTGCGACCCTATGTCGACGTTTACTATGGCGAAGTGTCAAGTCTAACGACAGAGATAACCGGGGCCAGGTGCCGATCATTGTTCTCGGCCCAAGGTTGTCTCCTCCCTAGCTTTACGTATTGCATCCTTGACTCGCGCCGTCTGCTGTTGCCACTCAGCATATGCTTGGTCGCGACGCTTAGACGAACATTTAGCTCGGAAGCCTTGTGTTTCCTTAGATAATGCCTCATATAGCGTCGCGACTTCTAAGCATTTCTGTTCCACTGCAGTCGAAGCATTGCGCCATTCTTCTGTCTGGCGTTTGACCAGCTTCTCTGAAACTTTAGTGCCGTTGCGTCTATACTCGTGTACGATGGCAAAAACACTTTCCTCTCGCGTCCTTAGATGCTCGAGAAGAGACTATGGACCCATTAGCGAACTCTACGATATAACTTCATGTGAAGAAAGCGCTCACTGTAGAAATGAAATGGAGAGTATCTACTACCCCGCTGGAGGCAGCCTCGACTGCTTCCTGCCATTTCGCTTCGTATCTAGGTTTTGATGTTAGGTTGCTCTGTTGCTTACCATATCCTCTTGAGCCCTTTCCATTATAAAGTCCAACAAAGTCAGCAGACTCAGGGGGCAGATGTTTTGTGTCCATCCGCGACTTCGTGGCAACTTTTGGTTGGAACCATGACAGCTGTTGCTTTGCGGGTTCATAGATAGTCCTCTCATTAACTACTTCTCGATTAGCCTCTTGGTGGAAATCTGCTTGTTCGTAACCCTGAGCGATTCTAGAAGCAAACTCCACTGACTTCGGATGAAGTTGTGGGGCCTGAGGCATAAGGTCATTTGTATTTCTGGCTAAAGGTCTTTCGCTAGGGCTTGAAGGGAATATTATTCGAGACTTCGGATTGGATACATGCTGATGATTGTCCATGTCTTTTAGGGTAGTAGGCCTCATCGAACTGTCCGCCAGAGGTTGTAAACGATCAGCTGACGAGAGAACACTTGCTTGATGTAGTTGCGACTCAAAGTTGAGAGGCATCTGCTGAGGCCAAGATATCTTATGGTTAAACCATGCCTGATGCTCGTCCGAGAACCGGAATTGTTCCTTGTATTCAGTGGGCTGCTGGGGTTCCTGGAGTGGGTTGCGTTCGAAGACTACTCCATTCCCTACGATTATACTCGAAGGTTTCAAAGAACTATCCGGCTTGCTAATATTTGAGCGCTTCGTAGTCTCTGCTAGGTTAATACCGTATTTTTTGTAACCCTCTGCCTCCATGTGAAGAGACTTTGGGCCATTAGCTGGAATAGAAGTCTTATGTACCTGCTCGACATGAATGTTGAGGTCTCCTAAGCCCTTTTGTGCATCTCTTGTATGAGCCTCTCCCTGGCCAGAACCTGTACTTTGAGCCGGTGGCGGCGATTTGACTCTCTGTACTGAGCTTAATTTTTGGGTTATTTTGCTCTTAGCTTCCTTCGAATTCTCATTGTGGTCGGGAATTTTCTGCTTTGTGGATACTTTAAGGTTGTCCAAGTAATTATCTGACAGTCCTTGCTTCGGTGAGCCACTCTGCATGATAGGATGATGATCCTGATTACCATGAAGCTCGAACAAATATTCAGGTTCCTTATGAATTGTCAGAGATCCGGGTGCTGTTTGTTCTACTTCGTCTTTGGTGACGCTCGCAACAGATGGCGAAGTAGCTAATTCCTTCCCAGGAGCCCTCTGTGTACTAGCGGCTTGAGATTCTGCCGGTGCATGTCTTCGTGGAGGAACTATATCCGTATCCTCGCCTGGCTCCGAGTCCCGTTTCGCGGTTGTAGCTTCGGTCGGAGACTTTTCTAAAACCCTTGCGGGAACGGACTTTCGTTTGTCGGTTTTATTGCTTTCCTTTTTCACCCGAGTTAAAGCAATATTCTTGTCGGGTTTAGGAATCGGATTAGAGCCGGATATATCGGGTTTCTGGTTCTTAGGCTGCTCAGACTCAGATAGCATAGGCTCTTCTATGTGTAGGGCTTCTTGACGCCTCGTTCCCTGGGACTGTGTGTTGCTATCTGTACTCTTATTGGATTTCTGTCCGTAAGTTCGTGTAGTACTGTTTTTTGAATTTCTTAACTTCGGTTCCGATTGTACTGGGCTTCGCTTCTTCTTTGAATTGGGACCTACAGCTACTTCGGGCATGTTGGATGAAGGTTTGCTACTAATTGGAGCTTTTGGTGGTGGTTTATGCTCTTTTGCAGGGGACTCCGGCGGATACCAGACGTAGTCATCACCATCATCACTGTCGTCCACCCTAATTGGCGAGGCAGGGTAAAGCTGCTTCCGGTTGCTCGAGCTCTGTTTAACCCCTGATCCTGTATTAGACATTGATTGGGGCTTGGTACCTTTGTTAGTGTCTTGCGCGACTTGTGCCGATGGGTCGTCATTTGACCCTCCATAAAACGACTTCTTAGGCAGTCTAGCGGTGGACGGTTTCAGCTTCACCCGTTGCTCACCAGGGGATGATTGAGGTTTCTGAATGGCCTTATCTAAGTTTTCAAGACTGCCATCCTTATTTCCCTTTTGAAAATACCGTGATGTGCGACTCTGAGTTGCTACAGGCTTGGCTTTAGGATTAGCCGGTGGGTTTTGTACACCGGTAGTATTCGCAGCCTGCTTGGTACGTTTCGACGCTGTCTTGGAAGTACTCTCGACTTTGCGCGGTCGGCCTTTTATGGCATTTGCTTGCTTAGCTTCTTTGGCAACCGAAGCGTTTTGAGCGTCGCTCTTGGCTGTTGCCTGTGATCTTGAGGCCTTACTAGCGGCCTTTTTATCTGATGCCTTTTTCTTTCCACGTCGGGTACTTGCTCCTACGATATAAGTGCTGTCTGATCCATCTCCTTCGCTCTCGGACATCTCAAAGTCGCTGGCGCTCTCATCCGAAATACTGATGTTGCCGTTTTCTCTACCTGCAATGTGCTTAGAATCTATCTCGGGGGGCTGCGTGGCTTCTGTTTCGGTTATACGGCGTGACGTAATATGATCCTCAAAATCTGATGGTAAAGAAGGGTGAGATGGAGAATCTGGAAGGAGCATGTCTTCAGGGCTAGGCATATAATGATCACGAGGGATAGGCTCTGTTTCTGCTTGTGCGGCGTTGGAAAAGAGACTATCAGCTATTTCCTGCGTCGAAACGCCACAAGACTGCTGTGTATGTTCGTCCTGTATGGCTGGCGACGAAGAACGTTCATCGGGATTGGAGCTTGTAGAAATGATAGGGTCATTTGGGAGCTCCGAAGGTGGGTTGCTCTGCGTCATCTCCCAGTTGTCGTGAGAGTTGTGCCGCCACTGACAAGACATATTTCTCTCCTCTACTATGAGTACAGTTAGTACATATGACACCGTATATTTATAATCATTTAGAACCCTTCGTATATGAGCCAATATGGTTGAATCGGTATGGCTTATGAAGAGAAGTCACCTTAAGATGAATATAACTTACAATACTGTCCATAGTTCGGGCCTCTGATCCTGTATCAAGCTATCCCCTTATAGATGCGTGGGATAGATAGTCTGGAACGGATGTCCTTCTCAAAGCCTTCGTTGACCGTCTATAGGGTCAATGAGATGGTCTGTATGACAGGGTGAATTTGACGCGTACGCATACTAGAGGCGATCGTAGAGGAACAACTAGAAATGAGTTCGATATAATTGAAGGCTTTGAGCGTGGGTTGAACTGATATAGTCAAGGCCAGAGATACTCGAGATGATCAAACCCTAACCACTGGTGAGCCAGCCAGGGAGACCTGGAAATAAACTTGGAAGGAAAGTGATGGAATTTTAGACATCAGGTTTGTGTAATCTGCTCTAGGCAAAGAAGGTACAGCTTAACGATAAAACAATGGCAGGTATGAAGTGTCTTCGTGCCTTCCACTTTTAAGACCGTATATAGCTGACTAACCCATTAATATGTATAAATACATGAAGTTAATAGCAACTGGTTAGGTAATACATACATGTACCTACACATGTGTAAGAGGTAGCAATGATTTCGTGAAGACCAGTATAGGCGTCTATAAGTAGGTATATGTATAGGTATTTAATAATGCCGACTCATATAAGGTAAATGGAAGTAATAGATTATTCGCTATGTTAAAGGCATCTAGGTTAATGAGATGTAGTAATAGTCGAGATTGCTTAGCCTCATAGAACAGCCTTATTAAAAAATTATAATATTCCAAAGGAAGACAAACATACACCTTAGACGACCATTGATAAATGCTATCATTAAGCACGAGAAGCCCCTTATTAAGAAATCCTATAGGTTAAGTAAAGACCTAATTTAACTCCTGCTTCAATAACATCTACGCTTAATTAGATAGTGTTTGACCTCTGAAATCATATTAATAATAAGATAGAGAGCTCTGAGAGTTGTGGGATATCACGTAGTTTCATTAATGCATGGGAAGCCGGCAGTGTGCCGGTCGGTCTCTAAGGCCGCAGCTGACTTAATTCAAGTCATGCTAGAAGAGCGATGTTACTCGCCAGAATTCAGTAGATACATCTCCATGAATCGTTTTGTCCCGGGGATCCGCCTGAATCAATGCAACCAGCCAACGCCATGTAGTTTCTTCCAATATCGTCCAATGCCCTAACATTTATCGGACGATGCCGTCGAAGCGCTGCTTGAACCATTTTACAGTCTCGTCGCGGTTGATGCGGTGGCCGGAACCGATTCTGCTCTTGGCGCGGCGGCGGCGGGTGACGCGCTCACCAGGGCGGGTCATGCAGCAGTAGAAGTCCATGCCGTAGATACCGATGGCCGGGTCGTACTTGATACCGAGATCGATGTGCTCGCTGATACCGAAGCCAAAGTTACCGGTCTCGCTGAAGTTACGCTTGCGGAGCTCGTACTCCTTGACCTTAAGGCCACGCTCGAGAATTTCCTCGGCCTTAGGGCCACGGACGGTAACGTGGACAGCGATCTTTTCGTTACGTCGGATACCGAAAGTTCGGACGGTGTAGCGAGCCTTGCCTATTGCGCGAGGGTTAGGAATAGTCGAATTTGCAGTCAGAAACCAGGATACAACTTACTGTAGACAGGAGTCTGACCGCTCAGCTGTTCCAAGACCTTCGCGGCACGAGTCAATCTGTCACCAGATTCACCAACGGAGATGTTGAGAACGAGCTTCTGGATGCGGAGCTCCCGCATGGGGTTCTGGGCCTTTTCCGACTATTGACAGTAATTATCAGCAACTGCGCATATTTACGGGCAATTCGGAATTAAACATACCATGGTGGCTGGTTGATGGTTAGTAACTATCGCGAAAAGGTTGGAAGATATTGTTGTCTCTTGGCTCGAAATTTGGCGATGGTGAAGATGCGAAAAAGAAGCACCCACAAAATTTCGCAGTGGTAAAAGGGTTTCCTTGCCCTACTGTAAATTGGAGCTGCTGAGGCTAGTGTAAAGTGTGGCTTAAGAAAAGCCTACATTGGTGGGGTCCGAGCTTCTCAAATCAACCTTACTCATTTAGTACTAACGTCAATATACGTAGTCCCGCTTTTCAATGGAGCTTAGTACTTCAGCCTTGAGAATGCCGCCTCGTCAATTTTCGTCCATTGAGCTCCGCCTATCTACCATATTGAAGCTCAGACTCTAAACTCCCACCCACCGGACGCGATAGAGAATCGATAGAGACCAAGTTAAAGTCATTTCGACTCCGAGCATATAAATAGAGAACCTTCTTAAATCCCTTGAGAAGCTCCTTTGGAGCTAATCATCGCAAAGATGTCGAACAAACAGGGCAAAATGGTACGTCGTCTATCTTCACCGGTTCATAGCTTCATCGTTGACATTACAGGCTGACCAAACGGATGCTCTCTAGGCCGGTTACGTACGTACCCCTTTGTCGCGTTATTATACGCGGCGCCTTGAGTTATACGCGTTCTGTACCTGCTAACTCTTCTAGATCAACTACCGCATGAGGGTCACGTTGATGGACGGCCGCCAGATGACGGGACAGATGCTTGCTTTCGACAAGGTGATTAATGTTCATCTCCCATTGGCTTAAGAATCCCGGCTAATTGTCTCATAGCATATGAATCTCGTCCTTGCCGATACTGAAGAGTTCCGACGCGTAAAGAGGAAGCAAAATAAGCCTACTGCCCCCGGCGCATCCAGTTCAGCCGCAACCCAGACGATCGAGACAGAGGAGAAGCGTACTCTGGGTTTGACGATTCTACGTGGTGCTCACATTGTGTCTTTATCTGTTGAATCTGCGCCTCCGGCCGATCCTAGCACGCGACTTGGAAAGAGTACTCCGGGTGGTTTACCTACCGGCTTAACTTCCGGTCCAGGTGTCTCGCGTCCTGCTGGCCGTGGTGCGGCCCCGTCGTCTCTTGCTGTAAGTTTCCGTGTTGCAGCAACGCCAATGTTTTAGTATTAACAATTATTAGGGACCAGCTGCTGGTGTTGGTGGCAGTGCTCCTCCTCCTTTCCCCCAGTTTGGTGGAGCCCCTGGATTTGGACCTGGACGAGGTGGCCGTGAGTATTCTTAATTCCTAAATATCCAAGAAGATTACGTGCTAATGTTTACCAGCTCCCGCACCTGGGTTTCCCCCTGGTGGATTCCCGCCGCCAGGCTTCCCTCAGAACACTCAATTCCCACCTCCTGGCTTTAATCCTGCTGGTGGCCCTCCCCCGGGATTCAATCCTCCGCCGCGAAGATAATTGTAGGGCGAACGTTTGGTTCTAAGGTAAAGAAATCCTACCGAGTAACGAATGCAGATACCATTGGCGTTTGGGGTGGTGGCCAAAAACTACGTAATGGATAGCACCAAAATGGCGGGAATTGTATTCTGTACTCTACATCAGTTCAGAAGAATCAGTTCAGAAGATCTCGCTCATAGCTCCGCATTGGGCCCCGAGAATTCAAGGCCAATTCATTAGTTGCCGACTTGGAGGTTGAGGTTAACAAATACTGTCATGGAGAACATTTATTTATATCTTGCGTAGTAATAAAGTGCATATTACGTACATGTATGTCGTTTATATGTCATCTGTATTAGATAATACGTCTACCCTTAAGGGGAATGAATAAGTTCAACGTTCTATTCAGCGCCTGCTGAGGTAGGATTGATTGATACATGTATTATGGAAGGTAGTGTTTGCTAGAATAAGCGGGACCGGCTGACAACAGCTGGGTACATGTATGTACATAATGGTTGGACCTAAGTTGACAAGTACAAATAGTATGTAGTTAGTACGTTATGGTACATCTAAGGCTATTGTCCAACAAATTTAGGCCCGCCAAACTGCCCCATTGGAAATTTTCCTTGTGTTCCGAATCGGACACCCGACCATCTTCCCTCGCCGGCGTACAATTCCAACGATATCACCTACCTCACAAATATTCCCTCCTCGTCCTCAATTGATATCTCGGTGACAGCTTCAAGATGGCCGCCTTCGTCAAAGCAGTCAACGCCAAGATTCGGTCGAATCCGACTCTGAACTACTTGTGTTCGACGCGTACGTGAACCCCAACTACCCTTCCGGTGTACGGACTTTACCCCGTCATGTCCGAGGCCATCCACGATGGGATTAAATTGGTCTTCACTTTTTAGATCGGCTGTCTTCGAGTAGCGCATGATGCTAGATATAGCAGATAGCTCATGAGTTGCCTTGGAAGCTCCGCGTTCTATACTTCTACCATCATTCTTGGTTGCTGGCGCAACTTGCGATCATTCATGACACGATGCGCTACCGTCAAATTGGTAGGAACTAGCTGCTGATATAGTTCATAATTAGATTTCTGGGGACCGGCGTCGAACTTCGGTATTCCCGTTGCCGCCGTGATGGATGCGCAGAAATCACCTGAGCTGTACGTTACCCATATACCTACCGCATTGTGTCGTGATGGAGCGCATCGGGGATGCTTCACAAGTTGGTGAAGCAACACCTCTTACCTCCGTCTATATTCCATAGGCAAATCCTTGCAAGTCCTTAAGCTAAATCGTCTCTCAACTACAGAATTTCCGGTCAAATGACATTCGCTCTCTGCATTTACTCAGCAACCTTTATGCGATACGCCCTCGCCGTGACGCCTAAGAATTATCTCCTCTTCCTGTGCCATTTCATTAACGAGGGCTCGCAATTAGTGCAAGGTTACCGATATCTGCAATGGCATCATTTTGGCGGTAGAGAGAAGGCTGGTGTCCTGGGTGCCGTAGAAGGGGCCAAGGAAAAGGCTGCCGCAGCCGGTGATAAGATCAAGGAGGTCGCCTCGAAATAAACTATTCCGCATATCTGGGGTGTTCATGGCGTCAACTGTCTCTTATGGAACCTGTCACCGGTGATATTATGCGTTCGACTAGAGAAACCGCATGTTTGCGTTTAGAGTGGATTCGACTCTTCGGCAGAAGGGTTAGGGGAGGAGGAAATTGGTCTAGATAGGGCCGGACCTTCATTGAGGAGGAATTGCAATAACTGTATTTCTATTGCATCGAAAAGGTTTTGAGGTTATTCCCGCGATGGCTCATTAGAATTCAAATTCTGTCGATTCCAGTTATAATCAGCACATGAGTAGATCATTAAAGAGGGATAATCGTGGATAATCGTGGATAATCGTGTGTCATCCAACCCTTCTCTAGCTTAAAGATGCCTCTAAACATCTGAGCACGGTCGTTTCCGATGCATGATAGTCTATTATTATTTGATATCTCTGGGCGTTGATTTATTCGTCTCGTAGTTGGGCCGAGCAAGCGCCTGGTGGAGATCAGTAAAACAAAGACATGACAAGCCAAGATATTGAAGTCGTTGATATGATCGCCATTAAACTCCACGGTGTGTATTTTTATCTCACTCGAAACGCTACCCAAGAGTGAGCCCCAATAAAGCTAACGGCGAAAGGTGCTCAAAGCTCATTTCCATGTTTGGAAAGTATAGCAATAATACATACAGCTCTAGCCCCTGAGGGTAGTATTACCGGTGCTGCAAGTTAAGGCAATAGGACTCATAAGCGGACAAGTAGTATCGACGAATTAAGAACTTCGAACTGACCATGTTTGTCTGGCCGTACCAATCCTATCAACATAACGGACACCCCCACGCTTAAAACAGGGAGTGCTTAGTTCATGATAGTTGGTCACATGTACGCTCTGACGACGCGTTTCGTAAATTCTAAGTTAAACTAAGTTAGAGGGTCCTATGTACTGTACATATCTCCTATGTATATTTGGCCATCTTCCGTAGCTATCAAAGTTTCGCGGATGCTTTAGCCCTCATCACACTCATGTCAAGACGGTGTACTTAACTCCGCAGTAGGGGTGTTCATCTGACACCAACTAGAACGAAGCAATATTCATGGGTACCGGATATACTTGCCTGTTGCGAGGGGCCTATTAAGAAACGAAGAAAGAAGCCGGAGGATCACAATGATAGGGGTCTATAATCCGTTCAAAGAGGTGTGGGGGGTGTTGGATGAAACGTCAACCCAACCACAGCTCGCAGTTGTCTTATATTATCTACTATGGATTATTACGTAGCCAAGTAAGTGCCAATGTCTTGATCGGAGATAGCATTTGCTGGACCCTTTATTCAGCCTCATACAAAAATCAAACGAACATGTGACGGCAAATATGACATTAGAAATTAAACAAGTGGTATAATTAGCAAAAAAAATCACGCATCATACCCAAAATAGCTCCCTAGTTAGTTCGTGCCGAGAAAAAAAAAACAGTTGAGTCAGAGTGTTTAGAGCCAAGTACGCGGACAAGAAATATGATATAGTAGAAGACGGGTGGATGCATGAGATCCATAGCTTGGCAAGGAAAGGTACCAGAGAAAGCCTTGTATTTACGTGATCGACGGCCAAGTTGTGACTCTAATCGTCTCGCCAAGCGACTGGCGAGTAATTAATAGCGCAATCTAGATAAGCTGTCAGATGGAAGCAATACTAGCACCATGCCGTAGAGTTGGCGCACACTACAATAGACTATGATAGACACTAAACAAGCTTACAGGTTTGCGCAACCCTACCTACCTTGTAGGTACCTTGAGCATAAGATATTTTCTATTGCAGCTCGTGTTCCGGATACGAGCAGAGGGGGTGGGAGTCTAAGGGAGACAAATGGTGTTAGTAATATATATTATTCCGTATTACGAGTTTGATTTCAGTCGAGGCGAAATAGGCCGAGGCACAAATCATGAGGAGATCGAAGTCAAGACATGGACAAAATCTAAAATATCCTCACCGCTGTCCTGTAGAGAGTATCAGACTTGGATGCTCGAGCTTGGCATATCGGTAGTAATAAAATGCGGATGCATGCCGAGCAACTGTGATCTTCCTGACAGAGCTATAGTCTCAACCTATAGTTATAGGAGTATACACACGATGATGTAATCGTGAGAAGCTTGAATAGGAGTTTACTCAAATAAGTAACTTAATACCCATGCGAGAAAAATACCAGCTACCAATCACGCGGCAGTACTTTATAGTTATATATTTATATATATGCTTGAGGGTAGTATATCAAATGCGCCCTCCATAATACGACAATGGTTAGGTATCTTGGGCATATATATACGAAAGAATAGAGGGACCGAAAAAAGCCATCCTCTACAACCTAGGAAGATGTCCGAGCTAACATTGCAAGCCTCTTCAGACAATCCAAACTATCGGATACTTCTAATAGTAGAAAATTAAGCTAATGTATCCGGCTTTAATGATTGGTGAATTTGGAGATACACAACATGTACCTAACTTAGGTTCCAGCTCAGAAGTTTCCATGACCTAAATAACATTAAGATACCTCCTTCCCTCTTACATAAATACTTCCGTGACGGTGTGACTTTACTCTGCAGACGAGACCAGGAAGGCGCTGCAGAATGCAGCTCGCTTTATGACAAGGATATTGCAGTATTCACAGCAGTTGCAGCAGTTGCAGCAGTTGCAACAGTTAATACCTCAGAGCTCGTGCTCGAGGTGCATTTCTGCAAATTACATCTACGGTACTTCCCACCTCAACCCCGCCAAACCCCGCCATGCATCTTCCTCCCCCTGTCATCTTCTCCCCCTACTTTGGGTCGGATATCGCCCGTTACTCTTGTTATTGCCAGTTGAGAAGTAAATAATAATGCTCGGGATTTATAACCCGAACGCGGTTCTAGACTGGACTGGACGTTGGACGTCGCCAATCTCTCAACGAACAGCGCCGTCTTTCCACTATCCTATCCTAGATCCTGTACGGTATAGAGGCCCGAGTTTGAAGCTCAGATCAAGGCCCTGTAACCCTGTAGTTGCCCCATCCGGTCAATTCGGACTGGTTTCGGCGAGCCGTATTGGCTGTTTCATCAAACGCAGCTGTTTCCTACAACTGTAGCAACTCAGAGCCAAGAGACAAGAGCAACGATAGCCTCAATGGATGCTTGTCTAGTGACACCTTGTAGGCTTGTCCCGGTACTTGGCAAGGTGTGAGACAAGCTGATCGTCTCTCAAGGGAAGGGGGACGAGAAAGAGAATAATCCCCTCAAATGTCCGCCTCAGCAACCCATCCCGCTTGCCCGTCCGCGGCCTATGCAAAGCAACTGACCTCTTAGCCTCCACTACCCGTGCTTTGCTATCATATCTGTACTAGACTATATCGAGGGGTAGTGTGCGCAATAAGAAGCTTGGACTAACGCTACCTCTTAACCTTCTGCAATAATTTCTTGGCCCGCAATGTAAGAGGGAAAAAAAAAAAACCTTAAGAAGCCTTGAATCTCCTCCTCGAGTCATTACCTTTCACATTTTCTGCTTCTCTCCAATTTTTCATTATCTGCGTGACACACCTAGCCGAGACAAAGACGAACCTCGTTATTTCTTATTTACCTCTTTAGGTGTGCGTTACCTACTCTGCATTTATTATAACTTGTGTCCTGTACTTCATATCACATCTCACAATCCTAAAGCCAGCCTAGAGATTCCCTACCTCATACGTCAGCGTAGACGAAGGGGAGAGCTCAAGCCCCAGTTGAGATACCCCACCAAACTAATCTCGACGTCGAGCTCAACAAACCTCCCTCCCCTCCTACGTCACACAGCAAGCTTATAACAACTCTTGACCACATCAGCTAGAGATAGAACTTCAATTTCAACATCTTCGGCTATCCAAAATGGATTTTCAAGATATTCAGGATTTAGAGGCTGCCCGCAAAGCCGCTATCATTGAAGACAACGAAGATGTCTTTGAGGAGGACACCACGCCGCCGAAAGGAGGCAAGACGGCGCATCATATTCGCGCAAACAGCTCTATTATGCATCTGAATAAGCTGCTGGGTTAGTTATGCCAAATATCCTGCATTTGTTACTATCCGTACTTCGTCAGGTATGCTAACAAGTCTATCATGTTACAGTGGCTAACAGAGGAGAAATTCGTAAGTAGCACTACACATGTGAACAAGACATCTGGATCCTTTTGCTAACATGTAGTAGCCATTCGTGTATGACATCCCAATATAACTTCACTACTATATTATGTCTTAGGATCCCGATAACTAATTATGGCTTTTTTATTTAATTATAATAGATCTTTAGAACAGTATGTAACCCCGCTATGTTTTTCAATGGAGCTTCCCAAGGACTAACATGGTAGCTAGGCTCACGAATTATCGCTGCACACCATCGCAGTTTTCAGGTGCGCAGCGCGTCTAATATAGACCTTTTTAATGTATTTGAAGCTAATTCTAGTAGTTATGAGGACCGACTCAGTATGCATCGGCAAAGTATGCAGATCTCCAGCTATAATGATAGAGAGGAATATTAGAGTGCTAACCTATCTGACTTACAGAGGCCGACGAAGCCTACGTTATCGGAAAGCGAGGACAATATACCCCGGTCGGCGCTTACCTCGCTGGCGACGAAATTATTAAGATTGCCCTAGAACACGGTGCTCAGATGATTCATCCTGGTAAATATTATTTATTTCTTTGCATTTGAGTTTAATTCTTATTTCTAACCCATCATAGGATATGGTTTCCTATCTGAAAATGCCGAATTTGCCCGAAACGTCGAGAAAGCTGGTCTTATCGTAAGTAATTGTCTAGGTTAGTCCTAACCACGATGGAACTCTGACTAATATGTCACCCTGTATAGTTTGTCGGTCCTTCTCCTAGTGTTATTGACTCACTGGGTGACAAAGTATCTGCCCGAAGACTAGCTATTGCCGCGAATGTTCCCGTCGTGCCGGGAACCGAAGGCGCGGTAGCTGCATTTGAGGAAGTAAAGAAGTTCACTGACGAATATGGATTCCCTATCATTATCAAGGCTGCCTACGGTGGTGGTGGCCGAGGTATGAGAGTTGTGCGCGAGCAATCAAGTCTCAAAGAAGCTTTTGAGAGAGCTACTTCCGAGGCAAAGACGGCTTTCGGAAATGGCACGGTGTTCGTTGAGCGCTTCTTGGACAAGCCTAAGCACATTGAGGTCCAACTACTAGGAGACAACCACGGCAACATTGTGCACCTATACGAGCGAGACTGCTCGGTCCAGCGGAGACATCAAAAGGTGGTTGAAATCGCACCCGCCAAAGATCTTCCCGCGGAGACCCGAGATGCCATTCTGGCCGACGCAGTTAAACTGGCCAAGTCCGTGAATTACCGAAATGCGGGTACCGCAGAGTTCTTAGTCGACCAACAGAACCGCTACTACTTTATTGAAATCAACCCGCGTATTCAGGTCGAACATACTATTACCGAGGAAATCACCGGTATTGACATTGTGGCTGCTCAGATCCAAATTGCCGCGGGTGCTTCACTCCAGCAGCTCGGCTTAACTCAAGACCGAATTTCGACACGAGGCTTCGCGATTCAGTGTCGAATCACTACCGAAGACCCGTCAAAACAATTCCAGCCAGATACTGGAAAGATTGAGGTGTACAGATCCGCTGGTGGTAATGGAGTGCGTCTCGACGGTGGCAATGGTTTCGCTGGTGCGGTTATTACCCCGTACTATGACTCCATGTTGGTCAAGTGCACATGCCACGGTTCAACCTACGAGATTGCGCGCCGAAAGATTCTCCGAGCTCTCATTGAGTTCCGTATCCGTGGTGTGAAGACGAACATTCCGTTCCTTGCCTCATTACTGACACATCCCACCTTCATCGACGGTAACTGCTGGACCACATTTATCGATGATACTCCTCAGCTGTTCGACCTCATCGGCAGCCAGAACCGTGCCCAGAAGCTGCTAGCTTACCTTGGCGATATCGCAGTCAATGGAAGCAGTATCAAGGGCCAGATCGGTGAGCCTAAGCTCAAGGGTGATATCATCCTTCCAGTACTTCTCGATGCCAACGGCTCCAAGCTTGATACCACACAGCCCTCTACTAAGGGTTGGAGAAAAATTATCCTCGAACAAGGCCCTAAGGCGTTCGCCAAGGCCGTTCGACAGTACAAGGGTTGTCTGTTGATGGACACGACCTGGCGTGATGCCCACCAGTCTTTACTCGCCACTCGTGTACGAACGATCGACCTTCTAGGAATCGCGAAGGAGACTAGCCATGCTCTTGACAACCTATACAGCTTGGAATGCTGGGGAGGCGCTACTTTCGACGTCGCCATGCGTTTCCTCTACGAAGACCCGTGGGATCGCCTTCGCAAGATGCGAAAGGCCATTCCAAATATCCCCTTCCAGATGCTTCTTCGAGGAGCAAACGGCGTGGCTTATGCTTCGCTTCCCGATAATGCTATCGACCATTTCGTTGAACAAGCGAAGAAGAACGGCGTCGATATCTTCCGTGTGTTTGATGCCTTGAATGATATTAACCAGCTCGAAGTTGGAATCAAAGCCGTACAGAAAGCTGGTGGTGTAGCCGAAGGTACCGTTTGCTACAGCGGAGATATGATGAACCCCAAGAAGAAGTATAACCTTGAGTACTATCTCGACTTAGTCGACAAGCTAGTGGCACTAGATATCGATGTCCTTGGAATCAAGGATATGGCTGGTGTGTTGAAGCCTCGTGCTGCGACCCTTCTCATCGGGTCTATCCGGAAGAAGTACCCCGACCTACCAATCCACGTTCACACTCACGATTCTGCCGGTACTGGTGTTGCTTCTATGGTCGCCTGTGCCCAAGCTGGCGCCGATGTTGTCGATGCCGCTACAGACAGTCTCTCGGGAATGACGTCCCAACCGAGCATCAATGCCATTATTGCGTCGCTCGAGGATTCTGAACAAGACCCTGGCCTAAACCCTGCACACGTTCGTGCTCTCGACACCTACTGGTCTCAACTGCGCCTTCTGTATTCGCCTTTCGAGGCTCACCTCAACGGACCCGACCCTGAGGTTTATGAGCATGAGATTCCCGGTGGTCAGCTGACCAACATGATGTTCCAGGCCGCCCAGCTTGGTCTCGGCTCTCAATGGACTGAAACCAAGAAGGCATACGAACACGCGAACGACCTCCTCGGAGACATCGTCAAGGTTACACCAACCTCCAAGGTTGTCGGTGATCTGGCTCAATTCATGGTCTCGAACAAACTCTCATCTCAGGACGTTGTTGACCGAGCCGGTGAGCTCGATTTCCCCGGCTCAGTCCTCGAATTCCTCGAGGGCATGATGGGCCAGCCTTACGGCGGATTCCCTGAGCCCCTGCGCTCAAATGCTCTTAGAAATCGCCGAAAATTTGACAAGCGACCTGGTCTTTACCTTGACCCTGTTGACTTCAAGAAGACACGCGCCGAGCTAACGCAGAAATGGGGTCAGATTAGTGAGACTGATGTGGCCTCTTACATCATGTACCCCAAGGTGTACGACGACTACAAGAAGTTTGTGCAGAAGTTTGGTGACCTCTCGGTCCTGCCGACCAAGTACTTCCTCTCTGCACCGCAAATTGGCGAAGAGTTCCATGTCGAGCTAGAGAAGGGTAAAGTCCTGATCCTAAAGCTACTAGCTGTTGGTCCATTGTCCGAGAACACAGGCCAACGAGAGGTGTTCTATGAGATGAACGGTGAAGTTCGTCAAGTCACAGTTGACGACAAGAAGGCCAGCGTTGAGAATATCAGCCGACCCAAGGCCAATCTTGGTGATTCTAGCCAGGTTGGTGCTCCGATGGCTGGTGTCTTGGTTGAATTGAGAGTCCACGAGGGCTCCGAGGTCAAGAAGGGCGATCCATTGGCTGTGCTCAGCGCCATGAAGATGGTAAGACTACTACTATTCAGACATCATATATGCAAAGTTCTGTTACTAATATTCGCAATAGGAAATGGTTATATCAGCCCCGCACAACGGCAAGGTATCAGACCTTCAAGTAAGAGAGGGTGATTCGGTCGACGGATCGGACTTGGTGTGTAAGATTGTGAAGCCTTAAACACAATCTACATGCGAAAAGGTAAACTACAGGAAATGTATAGCGGAGTAACGGTATCGGGTGCTTGCGAGGCTTTCGGCTGGTGTGTTCCAGGGACGGAGACAGTACTCGGGGTCGACGTGGACTTCTCATATGTCCTTTCCCCTAAGTTTACTTCACGCAAAAGGTAAAACACCTGCTTTTATCACTGCAAATATGCGTTCAATTTATCAATTATCTTATTTATCTGGATGTGCCTCTTTGCTGTGAAGTTTGAACATGTTGGTTTTCTTAGTCGGACGCGTCAAAGTCTACATCGTCCAGCTGGACGACGGGTAATAGCGCCATGTGCAACTTACTCGAGCCGTAAGGCACGAAGCGGGCGTAAAACGGCTTCCCCACGGGTGTCACATCGAACGTACCCGGATCCGCAGCCGTGTCCATGACAATGGGCCAATCGATCTCAACAGCAGCAACGCGCAGCTCGATAGGCGGGGCGCCTAAATCCCAAATTGGATTCTTGAGCTCGTCGCTGCTAACCTCAAGGACGTCATCTTTATACTCCTCAAACGCACTCGGGCTCGAGCCCCCGCTTCTCCGCCGCACAACGTGGATCTGCGTCGGATCGATGGCAAGATTCCACTTGCTGCCGCGCTTAGGCGTAAGCACGTAGTCGTGCGTGTGGCCGTGCGGATCCGTCGTCGAAGGCGGCAGGACGTTCCCGCTGCGGTATTCTACCGGGGGCACGGCGACGGCGTCGTGCTCGATGGCGAGGGCGTAGAGCAGGGCGCCGTAGTATATGGCTGCGGTGTCGTTGGCGCGGCGGACGACGCGCGGCGTCGTGGCTAGGCGGACCGTGGCGGTGCTGCTGCCGGCGGGCACGGCGATGTGTTGAAGGCTGCGGTTGTCGTCGTCGGGGGAGAGGGATGTGCTGGTTACGCCGGTGCTGGTGTTGGTCGAGCTGGTGCTGACGGTGCTGCGGCTGGGGAGGGCCCAGGTCGGTATGCGGATGGAGAAGTCGAAGGGCTGGGAGGCGGAGATGGTGTATGTGAGGGTGTGGCCGAAGGGGTAGGTCGTGTTGACGGAGATGAAGACGGGGTTGTCGGAGCCGAGGGTTGCGGCGGCGGTGCCGGGGACGAGGAATACGTGGGCTAGGCCGCCGTCGGGGGTCGTGGCGAAGGAGTTGGCGAGGAATTTGGGGTAGGCTTGCGGGTGGTTGACCGTGCAGCTGAAGTTGGGTGGGTTAGTTTGATGAGGGTTGATTTAGGGGAGTGGAGGTTGGTTTACTTACCATGGCTATGGAGTTTTAGTTACGGACGAGAGGGTAGTTATTATAGCAAGGGATAGAAATGGGGGGGGGGGGGGGGGGGGGGTTGGGGTGGGGGGGGGAGGGGGTGGGGGGGGGGATAAAATTTTTTGTGACAACCCAGAAAAGGGGGGGGTAGGT